TATTATTGTATAATTAAATAATTAATAATTATATTAATCAAATCTGTTATTTATTATCTGTTACTTACTTTCTGCTATCCACTAACCGTCACCTACTACTTGCTACCATTATTCACTATTTGTTACCCACTATCCGCTATCCATTGAATTTTAACTATTATGTCAAATAGGTCTAGACCTCGCAAAATTGGATACAATCCGAAAATCCAATCCAACCCATCCGTTATGGGTCAATTGATAGATCTTATGTGTTAATCTGAAATATAAAATGATATAGACTGAAATTACCTGAACCGAAATGGGTTTGGTCACGAGTGGGCCTGTTCACCCAAAATAACTTGAACCTTTTTTATTTGTTTTTTATTATATTATTTCAAAATTAATTTTAAATTTTAAATTTTCTAATCTTAAAAACAAAAATAAATAAAATACCCAAACCCTAATCTCTTGTAAGTTTCACTTTCCCTCAACGTTTCCACTTCTCTACTCTTGCTTTCCCCTTCTTCATCTCAAGTTCTTTAATCATTCTTTTTGGTGGCACTTATGTCAAAAATCAAATTAAGTGGCATATAGTAAGTTATGTTATATAGTATTGTCAAAAAAATCTTTTTTTAAAAAAAAAAAAAAGGAAAAGAAAGCAAGAATGCTTATTGAAAATCAAAAACCAACGGTTGAGGTACTCTTTTCACCATTAGAAACACAATGACAAGAACACCAAGATTTGTTCTTAGTTACTAATTTGTTCCAAATTACTAATTTTTTCTTAATTAATAATTTCTTCATAGTTAATAAAAATCAATTCCGATCCAATTTTTTCTTGTCTTTGTTTAGATATATTTTGAATTTGCCTTTTAAATTTTAATATTGAATAAGGTTATATTTTTTTGTATAATACCTTTCTAAATATTGAATAGAACAATATTTATTGTATAATACCTTTATAAATATTGAATAAATACTAAATATTAACATATATATTGAATTTGTCTTTTAAATTCTAATATTTTATATCTCTTCTTTTAATGAAAGTTAATACTTTTATGAAATTATAAATTCTAAACATTGTATAGATATTATATATTTGATATATATTTTAATTTCACCTATATAATTAGCAATCTTTTCACTTTCTTTTCTTGAAATTGGAATGAAAATTGAATTATGAAATGAAAATTAACCGTTTAATAAAGTTTTCTAACTAAATAATTAATTAGTATTAGATTTTGTTAAATAAAAATATTAAAAAAATATAGAAAATTTTTAATTAAATTTTAATTTTTCACTTAACCCAATCCGAGACCCGTGTGAGCGAATTATAAACTTACTCCTTTAACCTAACACCCGAAATGACCCAATTCGAAAAACTCAAGATCCAAAACAACCCAATTTAAATCCACCCAATCCGACCTATTTGTCAAGTCTAAAGCCCTTTATAACTTTTGAAAAAAATAATTTAAAAAATTATTAAATACATATGTATATTTAAAATCATTATAATTTTACTTATAAAAAATAATTCTTAACTATAATTTCAAATGCACCCCTAATAATAAAAAATACCTCTCATTCTTGATTTCATTTTCACTTATTTCAAAATTTGAATTTTATCTCTTAACCACTTAAAATGTATCTTAAACATAAATTACTAAATTATGATTAAAATAATTTGAAATTCAAATCAAATCTAGTTGGTGTGTAAATAAGTTAATTCCTGGTAATTATTTCATAAAATAAAAGATTTCTCACTAATTATTTACATTAAAATTTCATCATCAACAAACCAGGAAGTATATTGGCATAAATATCACATAAGGACCCAAACTTATACAAAATTCGCAATGTTGGACCCAAACTTCAATTGCACTCAATTAAGGTCCTGAACTCTACGAAATTCTCAAATAAGGTCCCGATTGGACGAGAAAACTAACTTCCGTCAAATCTAACAAACACCGTTAATGACTTCTTGACGCAGTTTGTCATCGGCTTCCGTGGTGGCGTTGCACCTGCAGGTCCTGCACGCCTTTGCATGTTTTTTGGCAAAACCATAAGTTAAGCCCCTGAACCAACCCCAGAATCGCTATTAAGCCCCTAGACTGTAATTGATGCATATAAGCCCTCGAACTCGGGGATCAAAGCAATTAAGCCCTTCTTCTTACGCCAACTTAACTGCCGTTTGGTACTGCTCGCCTGACTTAACTGCTGTTGGGGACACACCCCGCTTGACTGCTTGGATGGCAAAATATTGCCATGTCATGCTTACATGGCAAGGGATTTAA